CCTGCAGTTCTGTTACTTCCTTGCCTGGATCTGAGTGCAAACTTGTGTGTGGGGGCAGTTGAGGTGCAAGGCTGAGGTCAGGCAGCAGCTCTGGCCCAGCACAGAAGGAATTTGAGCCTGTGTTATCAATGAACACAGGCCTGAGAAGGTGCCCACAGCTGGTCCCTGTGTGAGCAGCCTCTTACAGGTCAATCTCTTGGCCTGAGAGAATTGCAGGCAGCAGGACCTTTGTACTGTCCCAGGCTGCAGGTGTCCCAGCAGTGACACATGGAGCAGGGCTGGGAGGAATTGCTGCTCTCTTCTGTCGTGGAAGAATGGACACTTGAATCTTCAAGTCCCACTGTCCAACAGTGACAGGATTCAGAATGCAAAACTGCCCAGGTTTTTCTAAGTAAAGCCCCTGAAATTCTGGGGTATGTCCCATGCTGCTCCTGGCTCAGCAGAGTCACCAAGTCTCCTGAGGAGCCTGGACACACCAAGCATGCCTGGGAAGGGCTTAGGAGCTACTTCTCAGAAAGCTCAGGATGAACAGGCAGAGGGGATGCTCTGCTTTTATACCTTCAGTCAGTAGCTTTCTGTTAAATCAGGATTTTATTAGTTAAAGATGTTAATATCTTCTGTCATATTACCTGATTTCTTACTCCAAGAATCCAAGGGACTGACCTGGGTATTACTACTTTAATTTGGTTCATTTTCACTTCCCTTATCTTAGAATATTTCTGTGGCACTTTCTTAAAAAAGAAGTGGAAGTGAAATTATTAGCAAGAGCTGAATAATTTGATAATTTATTAATAGTTCCATTGGTCTATTTTTTGTGTGATAGATTGTTTTGTTACCCTACTAAAATAAAAGGGGGGAAGGTAGGACTGTTCCAATTTTAATTACTGCTCTTTAGCTTGCACTGTTTCAAAATCAGCATTAAATACCTCCTTTTTTCCTAGGTAGTACATCATAGTGCCACATAATGGCAAAAGGGTTCAAACAATATGAAGCCTGGAAATGTCAAGTGTGAAGGAAATGAACTGGCACACTGTTTTAATTTTTCTTCCTTTTTATTAAGCTTTATAACATTGCATAGCCACAAAGTGTGCATTGCAGTCAAGGGTGAGAGCAAAGACAATCATCTGCGTGAGAAACACAGGCAAAATGCAGTCCTTGTGCAGACAGGTACCATCCTCCCCATCAGGAGGTCAGGAATGACAATTCCCCTTTTGGGGAACCTCTCACCTGAGGGCTTGGACTGCTTTGAGCCATAAGCAGACTCAAAGTTACCTGCTTAGGTGTGGGTGTGCCCTTTGCAGAAGGCACAGTGCTGCAGTCCAGCATCTCCCCTCACAGCCCCGCTAATAAAAGGAAAAGAGTGATTTTCCCTTGAAAACAGCAAGACATCTTAGAAGTTCCAGACACAGTATATTTCTCATTGCAATGTGCAGTTATATGTGTTTAAAACACCTTCAGAGCAGTACTGGTGATTAGGCTTAGGATCTATTCATTTTCCTAAGCAAAATTAAATGTTGTGAGAACATCTCCAAGGGAAGGTCTGGCTGCAGTTCATGCAGATACACCCTAGCTGGAACAGGAACAGATAGCACAAATTTGGTGCGGATTAGAAAATCTGTAAATCCAATAAATACTCCACAGTCTGTGCTGGGCCCCGTATCAGTTCAGTTACAGGGCTTTTCATACCTCTGCTGGCTAGTTTGAAACTAATTCAGGTATTTCAGCTGCTAGAACACCTTTCCATCAGTGTGGGCACTCATTCAGGACACACAGAGCATCATTTTCTCCTTTCTGTATGCCTGTATCCAGTGAAGGCAAACATCTGTGTGACTGTAGTCATGGCTGGCAGAGCACAGCCATGCTCTCAGATTGAGCTATCCAAGCACAGTTGCAGTATCTAGTCCTTCTCCATTCCAGTAAAATAAATATGGTGTAACTTCATTAGCACCAATCAATTTAGAGGGTTGTGGACTATAATTAATGCAGCAGTCCATACATTCCACACTGATTTTTTTTTTTTCTGTTGATTCTAAAATGTATAGAAGCCGTGGAGACAGCCATGACAATGTCCCACTAAGGAAACCCAGACTACAACCTCATCTGTCTGTGACAAGAATCCCAATTTAGGAAATGGAGAATTAGTTTTGAGGAGAATATTTCCCTGAATTTCTCTGCTACAGTGGTGTAATGGCAGCAATGTAAGGACTCTTCTTGGATTTCACTCCTCCGGGCTCTGTGATGGTTGGCATGCTTTGGGCACCTCCTTAGGGTCAAACATGCACCCATTTTTCCTGTGGAAGGACAACAGGCCCATTGCTGTGCCATGTGGCACATCCTCAGTTGGTCTAAATCTCACTAAGAACCCACTGCAGAAAATCTTGGCTCTGCTGGAGTCAATAGCAAAACTCTCTCTGGCTTCAGTGGGGATCAGGATTTATTCCAGTGAGTGCAGTGGAAGCACAGTTTTTACCACCTGCAGATCTGGCTCTGTTGTTTGACACTGGTTCTCAGTTCGGTTTTTTTTAAATTTTAAAGGAAGTTGTAAAACAGTCCCCCCAAGCCCTGGAGCCCATGGAGCTTTTGTCTCCGTGTGATAAGGTAACAACATGTGCATACAGAACTTGGTTTCTCTGTAGAAATAAACTGCAGGAAGGCAGTTACTGATTCTTTTTGTTTACATCATTACTCTGCAGTACAGCTGTTATCCATATTAAAGCATATTTTTTAACCTCCAGTATTTTTGAGAGTAAAAAATCCGTCTTAATTAGTAGAACTAATGGCTGGGTTGTTTTGTATTTGTATAATCTACTCTGTCACTTTTAGTTTTTTTTTTGGATGAATCATATACAAATAAGAACTTTGATTTCAAATGTAGAGGGCCAGCCCCTCTCCCTTTCAAGTTTATGTGCAGAAGTTATTTCAATTTGAGCAGGATTGGATGGATGAAACATAAAAAAAGCCACATCATCATCTTAAAATACAAGTCCAATAAAAATGAAGTTGGAACTTTACCAGCTGTGTACTGATGAAAGCATATAAGATTTTAAGTACGAGTTTTAAGTACGAGAAGCTGCTCAATATGGACCCAAACCCAAACCAAAAAAAAAAAAAAAAAAAAAAAAAAAAACCAACAAAAAAAAA